TGGGTCTGAAAAAATCATGTGTTATTAAAAACCTAATTATAAACAACATTATTAGTTTGATTATTGAACAACTCGTTATTCCCACAAATTAATATTGTCAACCATTTTCTATTTGTATCACGCTAAATTGCAATATATAAGTGATCGTAACTAAAAAAATGTTTTTCAAAGAATATGCAAACGTGCGATAAAGACTGACACTCACCCTTGTTTATCATCGTGACAATATAAATTGATGTTTATCTCAAAAATTTAATCTTTTAAATGTAGTGACCGTGTGTTATTTTTTAATTTCGTGATTGATGGACTTTTTTATTTATTACTGGTTTGATTCAATATATAACAAATTTTGTTGCCAATTGTTTAGTTAATTTGTGTAAATGCATAAATAAAAAGAGACCTAAACTATGAAAAAAAATTCATCTTTTGAAAGCAAATAAATGATAAACATTATCTTTTAAAATAAATAATGACAATAATTATAATATTGTTATCAAAACCGATAAAGTATATAAAATTCGTTCTCCTTTTCAAACCGATAATGTAGAAAAATTCAATTGATGAATAGATGATATATACAAACCATGATTTTAGAAATATGTTCAAAATTTTCTTTGCATGAATCCGACGCATAAATCATTCATCCTGTTATTATATTATTCGATTATTTAAAACATGTACCACCGATATTTGATTCTATAAAAAAGGTGAAGTGAATCCATCAACTATTAAATCAGTTATTCCATATCAATTGACAATTAATGGGCCGAGATATGCTATCCCGAATTGTCAAGGAATATTAAAATTGGGTAATAATTAATGCATGATGGGAAAAGATTACTAAAGATAATTTAAGTCTAATCTTATTTTATAATAAAGATATAGTATTGATACCATGTACAACCAGTATTATTAATTTATATTATACTATGTACAATCGATATTATATCATTTGACAAAATTATATTAAATTAGTAAATTAAATTATATTATACCATATTCAACCGGCCTTAATCTTATTTATTCGGCAAAATTATAAAAATAGTTGGTAAAATGTTTGATTCCATGCATGACCAATTTTATTTGGAAGAATTTGGAAGAATCGGAAAGAAATTAGATATAAGTCTTAGCATGCGATATTTAAGGGAGTAAATTGTTTGTTTCCATGCAATTATTAAGGAAGTTTTTTGCATCATTAATGTTAGATATTTTTTTGATAAAGAATTACTATAAATAGGGTGTATTTAATGCTAATGGCGAGAAAGAGTTTTTAAAAGTGAATTATGTTAATCCTTATTATATATTAATAAATGAAAAAATGTGATAAATGCACAACGCTTCTTAAGATTTTCTCATAATGTTATAGATTTTAAAATGTCAAATTTACCAAAATTTTGATATTGTTTATAATTTATAAATGCTTAAAAATAAAAGAACAGAACAGATCGAATGATATAAATAAATTATTTTATATTTCAATATATATATATATATTTTATTTTCAACAAATAATAATATAAAATAATAAATAAGTTAATACTAAATATACTTTATAATAATAAATAATAAAATATTTTAAGTACTTAAGTTAATTAGATGCACAATTATATCTATTAAAACGAGTTTTTTTTTATACATATAATTTATCCGAGATCGTATGAAAACGCACTTTATAGAATAACACGTTGTACTTTATAAAACAACACGTTGCATTTTATAAAACAACACTATGCACGTTTTCACGACTATCGGATTGCGCAATAAAAATCGAAACCACTGTATTCAAATTATTTTAAAAAAATATAAATAAATAAATAAAATTATTAACATATTAAATATAATTTTAATATAAATAACACATTATTTCGATATTTTGGATAATTCGGTTACCCGAAGCAAAAAAACTAATAAATTATGTTCATTATCAAATTGATCTGGACAAAAGTTCGATTGGTCCAATATGCACAATACAGACCGACGCCGTGCACCATAGTGATGGACGAAATGCACCTTAATATGAGAGGCTCGGGGGAAAGGAAAGTGGTTGAGAGCAGCCTGGAAGCTTGCTCTAACGACTGACAGCTCACGTGATGTCGTCGTAGGGCCGATAATGGCTGGACAGAAAGACTGGCCGAAAATGTGTTGTGGGATATTTTTTGAGAAATTGATGATTTGCAAGGGCTTATTTGCAATTTTTTTATGTATTTCAATTTTGTATATGTGCCAAATCTATAATTAATAGAAACTTTATAAAAAAATATCCTCCCTATATATTATTCCCGAATGCGCTGAGCCTACATGGCTGCTTTTGTTGCTTCGGAATCCTACTTGGCAAAGAACCATGATTCGTAATTACGTTCGGACAAATAATACTGATATATTAATAATTAATAATCTAGGTTCGGACATTCCATAAATATTAAATAGCTAACTTAGGTATTTTAATACCACTTGTACTAATATATCCCCTTAATTCTTTGTAATTTGACATATTGAGACATTAAGTGACTAATATATACCCGAATTTTGATTTGTTTCCTTCAATTAGTTATTTATTTATAAATGTATTTCAAAATTTGATAAGTTTTGTATTTCTTATCGGTTTTACATATATAATATATCAAATTAATCATCTTTTGATGATCTTCGATTTGACATCCATATTGTATATATGAAATAAATAAATTATATTTATCTTATAATAATAAAAAATAATAATTTATATTAAAATTCATTAAAAAATAAAATTATTTCTCAATTAATATATTTATGTTTAAATTAGTTATATGTTGTAAGTTAAGAAATTATTATAATATAACACAAGTAAGTCGCACAAATAAAAAAAAGTCATACTATATATATAATAATATATAGATTTTATAAAAGATATTTAAATTTTCAATTACTTTTTTTCATTAATTTTAGATTTTAAGAAAAAGATTAGCAAACACCCGTGTGATACACGGGCGTTGTACTAGTTCATTACATATTCCTTTATAAATATATTTTAAAACAATGAATACTAAATTATATTAAATAAAATAATATAAAGATTAAAATATAATAAAACTAATAACTGAAAATATTGAAATAATAAATAATTTTTGATAATATAGATAACAATTTATTACGATTAGTTAAGTTAATTCGATTAACCAATTGAATAAAATGATTACTTTAATCTGATGTCAGGTTATGTTTGTACATAAAACTACCCACAATGAAAAACAATGTTAAACAAGATGCACATTAATGATTATTATACTGCACCATAATGTTAGACCGATTGCACATTAATGCATTCGATAATGCACATCGACATAAGAATGCATTTTTATATATGTTAAAAAGATTGAATATATTTTTATAATATAAACAATAAATCATCTATATTATTTAGATTATTTTGGGAAATCGAATGAATAAACAAAATTTTTAAAAATTATTTAATTTATGTGTGGATCAAATTATTAAAAAGTTCTGCGTTGCAATTGCACAATAATATTAGACGAGCACATTCATGACTATCGGATTGCACAATAAAGACCAAACTTCCGATCTCAAAATATATGTTTGAATTTTCATATATCGATTTGATTATTTGTTTTTACTTTTATATCACGGATATTTAAGCACAATGTCGGCCGTATTGTTTTGAAAATAATCGAAATAATCGAACCAATCACACAATATGGAAAATATTAATATTTAACTTTTGTATGTATAGCTGGTGTACATTATGATTGTACGTATTGCATATTAGTGACTGGTAGACTGCACAATATCGAACAAAGACGACTAAAATAAATTATTCAGTACGTATTTCTGAATTTCAGTTCGATGGTAATTCTTACTTTTACAAAATCGGTTATTTCAATTTGATATCGTTTTTTTTTCTATTATTGTTATTGACATCACAGAAATATTCGGGCGACCAAACTATAGAAAATCAAACATTTTGTATGTAATTTATTATCCATTTTCAAACAAATATTAAATATAAATATTGATTAGTAATTATAGTTGTATTAATTACGATTTTGAACCATGAATTATTTATTTTTTTTTACCAACCATCAAATATTGTAGAACCAAACAACAATATACAAATCGAGTGGCCAAAGGGCCACAAGTCCATGGGAAAACCTAAGCTAGGCCTCCCTACCAAGACCAACAAGGTCTGAGAAAAAACAACAAAGAGAGAAACACAAAGATACAAACTAAGACAAGGGAAGACAAAAACAAACAAACCAAACACAAAAACCAAAATAAAAACAGAAACTACCGGCCAAGAAACAACTGTTAGAGGTATGCTATAAAAGCTATGTTTTGCAGTTTCTATCAATTCTATTTTGATCTGGCAATCATGTTTCGGTCAAAGTACATATGTTTGCAGTTTATTTATTTATGCAATACATACTCCATGTCTTATATTGAGATAGTGTGGTTCGAATAGTTTCGAACGGAAAGATCACCTATCGGTTCCTTATAAGACTAAACTATTCGTTCACAGTCTAGACTGGCAGTGAGACCCCACTTGGAAAAAGACTGTAGTGTATTCTCGATTCAGTTGGTTTTTAACTGAAGGATTACACTAGCACTTATGTTAAGTGTTGAACAGGACCACGGAAG